TATTACACATACGTTACAATGTTTCAACATCATGTTGTTAAGGTGGAAAAAAAAAATTCCAACCAGTTGATTCAGTCTTCATTTTCCAGAGCAGAATTTTTCTAATGTTTTGATTGAGTAAATCATACTCTTCCTCTGTTCTCAAAATGAATGCATCTCCACAGGTAAAAGAAAAAGAAGGGGGTGTGGGGGGAGGGGGGGAACTCATTTCCCCACAATTTTTTTTTATTGTGTTTGCAGTGAATTGTAATAAAGTAGTAGAAAACAGGCACAAAAAGAAACCGCACCTCATGTGTCTCCAACTAGTGCTACATCTTTTTATGCCATCTTCCCCAATTCTTTATTTTGCACAACTCACCAACTTATCTTTCAATTTTTCAGCTTTTTGATGAAATCTATGGCCCACCAATGATCAAATCACAGCCGTTGATATTGTAAGATCAATCTAATCTGTGGTTAAGAACACATCATGGATAGGTTACAACTTGCACAAACAATGTACGCCAGACCAATGTACACTAGACCAGCAGGGCTAACAAACCCAGGATTATTATTTTAATATCTTGGTAATTTTAAATTATGGAAAGGGAGCATATATGTAGAATGGAAGCATCACAAGTAGTACACAACCACCTAAGAAAAGTTTAAATGTTAATATTTAAAAAAAAAATCGTAAGGTAAATTAATTTAGTGAAAAAATGTTTAGGACACTAACTGCCATCTCAGCCAGCCATTATATTATAAAATTTTCCACGAAGGGCAAGAAAAGAATAGAACAAACAGAAGGCAGAATTATAAAAGTAAATCTATGGAGAAGGGATTGATATTTGAAATCTTCCCCCCTTAGATTTAATAAAATAAGCAGAAAGAAATGAATGTCTCTGTTCTACTGCATAAAGACTACAAGAACCAAGAAAGAATAATGGAATAAAATAGAGAGTAATACTAAGGAATGTTATCCTATATATGCTTTCTCAAATAAATAAATGTTAGGTGTTAGGGTTATATAGGTACATCATTTGTCTGTTTGATTGTAGCATATATGAAAGGCACATAATAATCATCAGTTGATATTGCCAAGGGAATGTGAAGAGCACAAAGCCAATGGAGCCAATTTATTTTACCCAATTTCTAGGAGGTTATGGGCTCAACACACAAGCCATGGCTAGAGACTCTAGTTCACCCTCCTTTTTACATGTTGTCTAGTGAGATGGGTTTTAATATGTTTCCATCAATGTCTCCAAGAAGGGTTTGGATTGAACTTGAGTTGATGAAATGGAAACCAAGGAATCTTTTGGTGTAGGTAAGTGTGGAAAGGCATAACCCTCAAATCCATTCCTCAAATAGGGTGGTAAGGATAAATTTGCCCTTAAAAAATATAGCGACTCTAAATTATAAATTAAGATAAATTATCCATTTTTCAACTTGTGACATTAGTTTTTCATTGGTCACGTAAGCATTTTTTAACAGAAAGTTGACGTCACATATAAAAAAATATATTATTTATTTTGATTTATAATTTAAATGGATAATTTATCCTTATATTTTTTTGAAAGGTGAATCTATCTCTACCTCTACCTCTTAGTTGAGGGGTGGATTTGAGGGTTCCACCGAGAGGTGGATTTGAGGGTTCCACCATTGTGGAAAAGGACAAATCCAATGTGTGTCTTAGCATAAAGAGACACAGTTGGCAGTTCTACAAATTTCTTCTTTCTGAATTTGATACTTCCGCCAGCTTCCCTAAACCAAAATACAACAAAGCTCAAGCTTTCAAATAGTTCAAAACTACTGAATTTTTCTAAACTTAGGATGTTCCCTTATTATTTTTATTTTTATTATTATTGTTATTATTATTATTATTTTGCATTTAGGTGGCCCATAATAAAATATGTGATGATGACTACTTTTACATTTTAAATTGATTTAGATTATTTGTTTGATTTGAGTGGGAAGGAAGAATATTTCTCCTCCATTTTTTAAAAAAAAAAAATAGACTCCAAACTCTTAAAGTAACCATTAAATTATATGAGATTAGTGTACATTGTATTATAAGAAAATAATCTGCAATCTTATATCTTTATACAAAAACTTTTACTATATAGGACGTAATATTATTAGATAAATGAATTTATATGTAAACTAAATAAAAAAGAATTAATCACACATTGCCATTTTTTTTCCTATTAAAATTTTTAATATTCAAAAATAATATTGAATCTTAATTAATTTAGAGTTAAAGTAAGTTAGACCCCATAACATGAAAGTTTTTTCAGCATTTATCTCTTTATATATAATACTCGAATTCAAATCTTATTTAAAGAGAAATTGAATGCATTTCACTCGAAATCAACAAATTGTTGGTACATAATGCGATTCATGTCAATGCCATTCATGTTTTACAAAATGTACTATGCTTAGAAACTAATAGTTGAATAAGTTAGCTTAATCAACAAAATGTCATGTAAATAGCCAATAAGAAGAGAATCAACAAACAAAATTATAGCGAATGAGAAAAATGGGTTTGGGTGGTGGGAGGTGGAGTCAAATTCCTTTTGTCATGGGCCTTTTTAATCAACTTTAATCATTTCATCATAAGCACACACATAAACACACGTGGGTCCCATTCCAAGATATCGAAGGCCTATGAAGAGGCTCATCATACTTGCTCCGCTCATCGCTTCACATTTCAACCCCACCACAATACCACAGTATATAACTTTTGCAATATTGCACCGAATATACACGTATAAAAAGTAAAAAGTAAATTAATAATTTGTTAATTTGAGTGAAAAAATTTTAATTTTTTTTAATTTAAAATCTTGAGCTTGAATCTTATTAAAAGAAAAATAAATATTAAAAGAGTTTTTCTTATTACGAAATCTAATACCGAAGGGTTAATAAAAAAAAAAAAACAAAGTAAAAAGTGAAAGTATATAATAAAATTTGATTTACATAATTTAAATTATTAAATGATATTAATCTTAATTAAATTTTAAACTAAATAGAGAGAAGTTTGATAAAATAAAAGGCTTTTTCCTTTTTAAACATCTCATAATTATATATGTTCTTAAAACCCTACACGTAATGTAATATGTATTATATCTTATAATTATAAATTTATAAAAAAATATAAATTAGTATTGATTTTTAAAATGAAATTAAAATTATAATCTTAAATAAAATTATTTTATTTAATTAAAATTTAATTTAAAATTTAAAATTTAAAATTATATATTCCAATATAGTTAATTTTAATTTATATATCAATATTTAATAAAGTAAATTTTAATTTTAATTTTTATATATAGAAATTAATACTTAATAATGTAAAATTTTAAAATTTTAATTAAATAGATGACATCATTTAAAATTAAAATTTTAATTTTTTTTAAAAAATTGAAACTAATACATATTATTCTCCAAATTTATAATCCTATTATATCATTATCTCAAATAAAATTGAAACAACCATAGTGTGGAATTTTTTTTATTACTTTAGTTGCATAATAAAAGATAATTATTTCTTGTTTTTTATATAACGTCACATATATGTCATGCAACTCACATTCTTGATTTTTTATTTTTATTAAAAAAATAATTATTAAATTATTTAAATAGTTTAATAATTTAAAAAAAGTTAAACTCCCTTTTTGGTCCCTTAATTTTATACAAACCCCTAATTGAGTCCCTCAACTCAAAAAATCTCTAATTTGATCCCTACTGTTTACCATTTTTACTCCCAATTTGGTCATTCCTTTAAAAATCTCTCCACATGTATTGTTAATTCACGGTAAGATGATGACATGTCAAAATTTTAACCCATGTGGAAGACAACATGGCAAAAACTAGTGACATAGCAATAAAAATTTTAAAAATTCTTTCTCCTTCCTCATTCCCTTTCTTCTTCCTTTTTCTTTCCTGAACCTAGGCGATGGGTTCCTTCGAACCCAGCTAGGCATTCCTCGTTCCTTTTCTCCTTCCTCTTCCTTTCCTTCTTCATCAATCAATTCATCATCATCATTATCATCATCATCATTAAACAACACCCACAAAAACATAGAAATTATTATTATTTTTTTTGTTGAAGAACCCAGTGCCTGGGTTCGATCGAACCCAGCACCGGAATTGAAGGAACCTCGGCAATGGGTTCCTTCAGGTTCGTTGAACCCAACACATGGGCTTGTCAAACCCAGGCGATCTAAGTTTGATCAAATCCAGGCTTGGGTTCAACGAACCCAACGCCAGGTTCCTTGAAACCTAGAGCTTAGGTTCGTCGAACCCGGGCGATGGGTTCAAAGGTAACCAGCTGGATTCCAAAGAACCCAAACCTGGGTTCGTTGAACCCAGGCAATGGGTTTCTTTGAACCTAGCGCAAACCCATCGCCTAGGTTCGAAGACCTAGCTAGATTCTAAGGAACCCAAGCTTGGGTTCGTTCGAACCCAGCAACTAAGTTTGTAGTGTGGGTTCCGAGGAACATAGCGGCGACTGTTGGGTTTAATGGGTTCTAAGGGGGGAAGGGTAAAGAGAAAGAGAAAGAGAAGGAAAAAGAAAAAAAAAAGGAATTTTTTTGAATTTTATTTTTCATATTATTATGATTTTTATATTATTATTATTTTTGCCACATGTGTATGATATTTTGCCATGTCATCCCATAACAGTGAATTAACAACATAGGTAATGAGATTTTTAATGAAAGGACTAGATTGGGGTTAAAATAGTAAACAGTAAGGATAAAATCAAGGACTTTTTAAGTTTAGGGACCAAATCGGAGGTCCATATAATAGTTCAGGACCAAAATGGGATTTTAACCAAAAAAAAGAAAAGAAAGAAAAGGAGCATGGACCCAAAAAAAAAAAGGACTGACTAAGTGGCATCATCTGTAATTTTTATTGGAACTTTGTCCGTTCTTGGAAGCACAAGCGCAGTCCCCTCTGCTTCGCCTGTGTTTTTATTTTATGTGGCGCACTTGAGCAGAGGGTAAAAAGCAGTGATACAGAGCGAAACCTGAGCTTGAAAGTGAACACTCACAAACCCAAGAACAGGCCATTTCATTTCATCAAAACAGTGACGCATACATTTACCTCACTCAGATTACACTCCATTTTCGTCCATCTTTCTGATATATCAAGCTGAAATGGAGCAAATCTTGGCCATAATCAAGCTTGAAGCTTGCGGCATCATTTAGGATCTTCCTTGTCCTTTTCTCATACTTCTCTTTCTTTCACACCCTTTACAAAAGCTACTGTTTTTATGGGGATGGGTTACCGGAGAATGATATCAGGCAACTTGGATCCAGAGAGGAAGAGGAGCGGTGGATTGAGAACTAAGCAGGCGGGAAGAGGGTCGTGCCGTGGAAGTTAGCTTTTTTTTTTTTATGTTGTTGACAAGCTTTTGAGTTTACTCCGGAAATTTGCTGGCACCGGATGTGAGCTGCCTGTTACACGTACTTTTGTCTATCTATCGTATAGGTTGCAATTGTGTTGTTAGTTGCTTTAGTGTTTGCCTCAGAGAGGAGCCAATAGCCATGGATGTTTCGCTGAGAGAGGCGTTAAGGATGCTCTGCAAGACCTATCGCTGGTCTTATGCTGTGTTTTGGAAAATTGGGTGCCAGAATACAACGTGAGTCTTCTCTTTTGTTTTCTTATTACTTTGTTTGGATGCAGAGAAAATGGAGAAAAAAAGTGGGGAAAGTTGGAGGTTTAAATTTTACTTACTTTACCTTGTTTGGTTAGTTTTGTTTCGCTTAATTTTGGCTTATCAGCCTTCGTTTTCATTTTCTTTTTCCTAGTTTTGCCCCCCTCTTTTTTTTTTCTGGGTTGAATTGCATTTTTAGGAAGTTTAAAACTTTAAAATCAATCAAACCATTTTTTTTTTTTTTATAAATACTCTTTTGTGTTCTGAATACCCTTTAATCGACTGAGTTGAAGAGAGTAGTCGGGAATTTCAAGATTTCTTGGTAACCAAATCCGAAGTAGTTGGTGTTCTTCCAAAAAGGTACCTTTTTGGGTCTTTGGCGAGTAATTTGTATCTCAGACACTACAGACATGTTTGATTCGTAGTCTGATGCGTTTTTGTTTCTGGTTTTGGAACGTTGCTGGTTGGTTTATTCTGTTTTGTCTTTAAGAATCCAAGTGAAAAGTGGATTAGTATTTTGGTTCGACAAAAAAACCTTCTCTGAATTCAGCAGATATCTCTTTATTCAGAATTTGGCTCTGCATTTGTTTGATTCTATGTGGTTTTAATGTTTCTCCTTGTAATTTTTAAAGTGAGGCGAATTTTTCGTTTTCATCACCAAATGAGTCGAATCTGAACATTAGTTGCTTTTTGTCATTGTCTGTTTGGCCACAGAGAAAATGCAGAGATAATAAATGAAACTTGTGAAATTTTAATTTCTTTTTTCTTAAGAGGAAAAAAAAAAAAGAAAAAATCTTTTAGCTTGAATCTTTTTCCTGATTCACAACTTTATTATAATATACTTTACAGGTTATTAATTTGGGAAGATTGTTACTATGAACCATCACCTCGCTCTGTTCCTGCCAATAAGAACCCTGAGTTCCCTTTTGGAGGGTGGCAAGGATGCTTTGGTTCTGAAGTTCCTTCCTCTCAGATTGGGACTCAATCATGGGATAGAGTGCACATGCTGATCAACAAAATGATGACGAACAACAGGATAAACTTAATAGGTCAAGGGTATGATTTTCTCCATTTTCCTCTGCACCATTTTGGTTTCTAACATGGAAATCTCTTTTAAGATTTTCTCGTTGCTGTACTAAAATATGTGAAAGAGATATTGATTGTTATTATTATTATTTTCCAGAATGGTGGGCCGATCTGCATTTACTGGAAGCCATCAGTGGATTATTGCAAACAATTTCGCTAGAGACGCCCATCCACCGGAGGTAGTTATAAGTTATGACAGTGGAAAATGTTTTTGTTATTTTGTGAATGGACGTAAACGGTGATAATATGCTTTAGATGGAAACTGAAAGCTAGAGGGAGTTCTCTGAAATGTGAGATTTTAGGGAACGTTAAAAGGTTAAACTGTTTTATCTTAATATGACTTCTTATCTTGTTTTGTGGATCCTGTAGGTTCTCAATGAAGTGCATCTCCAATTTTCAGCTGGCATGCAGGTGATTACATGGAAAATCATAGTTTTGCTCTACAAAATGTGGTAAAATGTTGCTCCTTTCTCACAGAACTTGTTTTCTTTTGCAGACGGTTGCTGTTATTCCTGTTCTTCCTCATGGTGTTGTTCAGTTTGGTTGTTCACTGCCCGTAAGTTCTTTTATATTTTTCTGATATGTTCGAAACTGATGTTATATGCATCTATGTTGATTTCAGATATTTAAATAACATTGTATTTTGCAGTCTATATGTATGAGTTTATCTAGTGTAGATAGGGCTGATGTCCATAATTAGCAGTTCCTTTTATTTAGTTTTGACTAGGTATTTAAATTATTATCCATGAGAAGAGGGTACAGAGATGAGAATATAGTAGTTGCCTTTTGCTACTGATGAAACAGTTGTCATCCAGTCTGTGCAATCTTGTGTTTGCATGATTTTTCACAAAGCTAAAATTGCATTGGTTGCTTTGAAGCTTTATTTAAATACTTGTCTGTGTCCTTTCTTCAGATTGTGGAGGACGTGGGATTCATCAATACTGTAAAGAGTTTAATCCAGCAGTTGGGTTGCATTCCAGGGGCCCTTCTCTCTAACAGCTATGGAACCAATGAATGTTCTGAGAAAGTTGGGATACCCATTTCACTTGAAACACCGGTTTCTATAGATCCCTCTGGAATTTATGGGGCACCAACCGCTGTCCCTTTAATGGCTGAAAGCTGCAACCAACTAAGCAACCCATCTGAGTCTTCAAGGCTTGTTGGCATGACGTCTTTTCCAGTTAATCAGATCAGGGATATTCTACAGGCTAATGCTTCAGCACCTCAATTACCTAGCCTGTCACAAACTTTGGCTAAACCCCACAATAATTACTGTGAACCAAAAATCAGTCCAGAGATAATGTCGAGTCTAAATTTGAGAGGTCACTTGAATGGTGGAGTGGTTGGTGCTGAAGTGATTCCCTCAAATCCAAGTTTGTGGCTGAACCAGCAGGCTTTGTTATACAACCAGCGGTCTGGGTTCAACAGTCAGGCTATGATTGATCAATCATCAGTGAGTCATGCTGCTGTGAAATCAATGGAACAACTTATCGTGTCTAATGCTGATTTATGTGATAATGTTACCAATAATATGAATGGATCAAACAGTCAAGGAAGACCAACATCATTTCCGGGCTTTGTTTTGAACCCACAGAAACAATCAGATATTAATCCTTCCTGCACAGTGCTGTCAGGGATTGGGTTACAGAATGTTAATTCATCTAGGGCAGAGGTTCCTTTATCAATCCTGGTGAATCGATCAACTGCTAGTTCCATTTGTCCTGAGAATAGTCAAGTTAATTTAGCTCCAAAGAAAGAAACAATGGATAGTGATTTGCTTCAAGCACTTAATCTCCCATTGACCCATTCTGATGGCTGTATTTCTTTGAATGAGCAACTCCTGGGGGGTGGCGTCCATGATTCCCTGAAGCTTGAAAGTGGCACGTCAGGTCCAGGACCCATAGATGCTAAGTATGAAGACTGCATCAAATTTTCAGGGGATGACTTGTTTGACATTTTGGGGGCTGATTTGAAGAAAACACTACTTAATGGCAAATGGACTGATGTCCAAGCTGATGGAGGGAATGCGAAGACACAGAAACTGGGTAAGGATAATTCAAGATTTGGGAATACATTGGGTGGGTTTTCAGAAAATGAAGGAATATCTGATGGGAATATGCACCCTGGAATTGGTACAGATCATCTTTTAGATGCCGTGGTATCTAGTTCTCAGTCTGTGTCCAAGCAGATCTCAGATGATGATGTGTCTGTTATGACAACATCAACAAAGATCAGTAGCTCCTCCATTCCGAGTAGCTCTCCCATCTATGGAAGGGTTAATATGTCAGATCAGGCACAAGGGCAGTTACTTGGCCTTCAGTCTTTAACAAAAGCAGCGCTTCTGGCATCCAGTTCTTATCAATCTAGCTGCAGCAAGGATGACACAGGAACTTGCTCTCAAACTACTTCTGCTTATGGGTCCCAAATTAGTTCATGGGTTGAACGGAGCCAGAATTCTAGGCGTGATACTAAGAAGAATGATGAAATTACCAAACCAAATCGCAAAAGGTTAAAACCTGGAGAGAACCCTCGACCCAGGCCAAAAGATCGCCAGATGATACAAGATCGTGTGAAAGAGCTGCGGGAAATTGTACCAAATGGTGCAAAAGTATGCTCTTTTAGATCTCTTAATTTACACCCATAAATCTCTTTTCATGATTTCTAATATTAAAAATTGATATTAATTTGGATTGATTGATGTGAATTAACAGTGTAGCATAGATGCTCTTCTAGAGAAGACAATCAAGCATATGCTTTTCTTGCAAAGTGTGACCAAGCATGCAGACAAGTTAAAACATACAGGAGAGCCTAAGGTATGGTTCAATTGCTTTATGCATGGTATTTTGGCCTGTTTGATTTTTTGAGTGCACCAAGACCGATGTTGTAAATGAATTTATAATTTGTAGATTTGATATCCTTTGCTGAGTTAACTCCCTTTGATTCTGTCTGTCATTTTCTTTTTTTCTTTTTCAGAACAATGAATTAAGAATGGGAATCTTTTGAGTTATGACATTTGTTCTGCTTGAGTTTGCAGCTTGTTAATAATAAGAACGGTGAGATAATTTTAAAAGACAACTTTGAGGGTGGAGCTACGTGGGCATTTGAGGTTGGGTCACCATCCATGGTGTGCCCTATCATTGTTGAGGATCTCAATCCACCTCGTCAGATGCTGGTAGAGGTAGCAACTGCCATTCTATTCATAAAATGTATGACACATCTTTTCCTGTTCCATCTTTGTGACACCAATATAATTTATCTATCATTGCAGATGATTTGTGAAGACCGTGGTTTCTTTCTAGAAATAGCTGACCTAATTAGGGGAATGGGATTGACCATCTTGAAGGGAGCGATGGAAACTAGACATGACAAGATCTGGGCACGCTTTGCAGTTGAGGTAGGATCTGTTATGGATCTTTGTCCTTGCATGTAAACTGCTCATCCTTCCTAATTTTTCTATCTTGATTCATGAAACTGCTGTGTGATTTGTACGTAGTCGTTTTGTTGGAACATATAAAAAAATAGTGTATTTTATTTCTGACTTTTCCACTTATTTGGTTACGATTGCTTTCTTCCTTGCCCTTGGTGTGGAGACATTAGCTGCTTGTTTAAATTGCATGTTGGCCTGCTTGGTACTGGTTGTTTAACACAAGTTTCCAATACAGGCAAGCAGGGATGTTAAGAGGATGGAAATATTTATGTCGCTTGTTCACCTGTTGGATCAAACTGCCAAGGGCTGTGTAACACCAACAAGTGCTTTGGATAGCAACAGTATGATGATCCACCACTCTTTCCCCCAAGCTGCTTCTATACCTGCAACTGGTAGGGCAAGTGGTTTACAGTGAACAACCTTGCTGCATTAATTTCAAGTCTCGATATGTTAAGAGCGAGTCACAGCCATGCCCGCCATGACTAACATGTCTTCCGGTCCAAGGTCTAAGGTGGTTCTAACCCTCGTCTAACTCTTTTAGTCTCCCACAAACCAATTATAACTGGCTGGGAATTTGTTTAGGTAGGACTTTGAAATGTCTGGAGACGACTATGGGAATGTTTCAAGGAGGTCTCGGGGACACACTTCTTTAACATGATTATGAATGGTACTAGGTAGATTTTTGTAACTTCCTGAATTTTATATGATGGGTGTTCTTGTAGGCATGAGTGGAGCAGCACTGTAGTTTGAGGTTCACTAGTAAATAGGGAGCATCAGGGATGAAATGAAGTGGATGTAGTCTATTCCAAGGAAAGACTTATTTTCTTTTACTTGGTTATATTTGGCTTTGGGATATTGTATTTTGTGGCAGTATTTCAAAACCTTGACGTTCTGCTAAAAGTAAGCTGTTTTTGGTGTTTTGCCTGTATTATTTTGTAATGGTGATGATGATGACTCAGTTATAATATTTTTCTTTACAATGTTTTTACTTTGTATGCAATGTAATATCAAATAAGTAGATGCGTATTGATGTGCCCAAGAAAGAGAGGCTAGCACATAAAAATATGGATGATAATATTGAACGAAGTATAAAGAAAAGAATAATGATCCGCGGGACGATGTTGCGGGTCGATTTTGGGGGACGACAAGTGAAGCAGTCCCAATAATAATTATCAATTTGACCTTACTTCACTTGTCGTCCTCCAAAATAGTCTCGCAACGTCGTCTCACAGATCATTACTCTAAAGAAAAATATTATAGCTAAATTACTTTCAATGCAATTGCGATGAGCAAACGTTGTTATAATTCTCATTAGGAGCTTTGGATTTAAGTCGTAACACGAGTAAGGAAGAGAGCATGTGAGTAAGGAAGAAAAGCGAAAAAAAAGAAGGTTATTTCTCGTTTAACTACATAATGCTCCTATCAAATTATAGCTCTTAGCGAGTAACTTAATATTGATGGTTTTTAATAAATAACTTAGTGTAATTTGATGTAACTGAAACTTTTAATAGAAGTCTTATTAAAAAGAAATTATTATAGAAGTGTTTTTATAAATAAAAAGAAAAATGAGAATAAAATAGGAATGATATCTTAATTTCATTAAAACTGATAAGCTCTTGCAGAAGAACCGATTTAATGCTTTTAAGATTTATAATGAAATAGAGAAAACCTAACTTATGAGAAATTGTAATATTTTTTACTAATTGTAATATTTAGTGCAATTTGTACTTTTAAAATTAAAAAATCCTTCTTATATAAGCTGTACCAAACAAACCTTTGATATCGATATTCAGGTCATATAAAAAAAAAATATATTGATATTCAAGTTATATATGATAATAGCTATTTTTTAGTCAAATTAAGTTTTGTATATGTGCGCAATGGTAGCTTAGGGTTTTGTATAGGCCTTTTTAGGCTATGAATAAGAGTAGGAGGTACTTATAGAATAATGAAGCCTTATAGGATGAGCTACTGTCTATTTTATTCTTTTGACATTACATACCAAAAGAGTTCATTGCAGTGCCTAGCAAACCTTGGCGGAACTAGAGGCATGTGATCTGTTCATCCCCTACTTTAACTCTATAACATTTGATATTTTATTAATGGAATTTGCTGCGTTCCTTATAAAAATATATGTATAATATATATATTTTATTAATGAAATTTGATGCGTTCCTTATAAATATATATATATAGAGGAGGTTTATTGATATATAAATTTTATACATTTTATTTATATAAAATTTTAATTTTTTATTTTTTTTATTTTTAATAATTAAAATTTATTTATATTTATTAAAAATAATTATTTTTTAATTTAAAAATTATAGTAAATTTTAACTATTAAAAATAAAAAATAAATATTAAAATTCTTTTTTTATCAGGTTACGAAGGGATTGGAAAACCCAGCCCAAGGAAAAAGGGAGGGGGATGGCCTCGAACTCAAAGTCTATAAGTACTCCTATGCAGAGAGCTACCAATTGCTCTACTTAGGAGTTCTCAAATATTAAAATTTTATATAAATACAATATATAAAATTTAATGTATAAATAAACCCTTATATACATAAATATATATGAAAAAGGCATTGAAAGAATTAGCATTCTCTGTAAAGAAAATGATCAATCCATTTTTGACCAAAACCAATTTTTTATTCTCTGAATTTGGTCCAAACTTTTTGAGACGCAAAGTAGGATAAGAGTAATAATGGAAGAAACTGGCCGCCAATCCAAAATCATTGGCGAACAGCTCTAAAAACCCAATGTAGAGAAAGAACAAAACGCTCTGCCTTATTACAACATAGTAACAGTGGTAATGAGTGTAGCACATGTTCTAGTTGCTTCATGGAAAGATCTGTCTGTTTCTTTTTTCTTTTTTCTTTTTTTTTTTTATTGTCTGAAATTGAGGACAGAAGGTGGGGTTTGAGTGTTTTACTGTTTTTCCCACTACCACTAGAAATTTTTTTCCTGTGGCGGTGGAGTGCAGGCTGAAAAGTGGAAAGGAACATTTGATTGTGGGGGAAGGCAGGGGGGCCTGCTGCCAAGGGAGGAGAAATTTTGCAACAAGTTTTCTATGATCTTATATTATATCTTATCTCTAT